TATATATGAATATTATTGAGCTTTAGAAAATGAAAGAATTTCTGATCCATGCTACAACCTAAATTTTGTAGACATTCTACTGAGGGAAATAAACCACCATGAACAAATGCTAAAGCCATCTACTTCCTTGAGATATGTCGAGGAGCCAAAGTCATAGAAACAAGAAGTAGGGCACTTCTTCCCAGGGGTTAAAAGGAGCAAATAAGGAGTCAGTATTCCAAGGGTAGAGCAGCAATACAAGGAAAATCTCTGAAAGTAGATGATGCTGGTGTTCACACAGCAGGGTAAATGCAGCCCCACATGGGTATACCTGATGCCACAGTGCTGTAAACCTGAAAATGATGCATCTCTCAACTCTCACCAGAGAAGTTTCCTCATGTAGCAGATGGTGATTAACACAGAAATCCACAACTGACAAATGTTCAGAGAACAAGAGGGGGCAGACTGCGTCATCCTTGAATAGGACTTCAACACCAAACTTCTGCCCCTAAGGCTCAGGCATTGTGGAAGAGGGGGTGCAAAGATTGTAAGAGCCATAGGAAATGGATGACCACAAGGAAAGAGTTTTACAGATACCTGGTCAGATATTCATATGAACTCACAGCAATGGTGACAGCATGCACACTTCCCAAGCAAGCCCAAACCACACAAACTCCCAGCATAGATGTGGGGAAGTGGGTAAGAAATCCCAAACCAACCTAAGGAACTTTGGGCATCTGATGGCTGCTGGGAGGGGGAGAGGCAGTCTCTTACAGGGATGGGGCTCTTGGTAGATTAACCAGACTCCAGTAGTGGCACACTGAAGGACATTTGGGCACACAAATCAGACTCTATAGTCTCTCTCTATATATACATATATATGCTCTATTAATATTATTAATATATATTAAAATAGAGCACATTAAATTGGGCAGGAGATGGTAAGGGGAGGTATGGATATGGGAGGGGCTCTAAATACTATCAAATTATATTGTATGAAAATGGTAAAAATTCAATAAAAAATTTTTAAACCCTGAAAATGGCAGAAATGGTAAATTGCATGTGTGTTTTATCACAATACAAAAATCATCAGGGAAAGGATGCTATTATGCTTAAATGAAGGGGCCTATGTACCACTAGCAAAGTTCGGGAGGGACTAGTGGCTGAATCTGCCTGTCCTCGGCTCTCTGAAACCTACAACTTTAGTGCATACTTTTGTGGTATTCAGATTTTTTTTTATAAGATTCATACAAAATTTTTGGCTGGAAAAAAACGTGCCATGGTAAAAAGTTGTGGAAGCAATTAATTATGCCAGGAATTTATGCCTTACTTACACTGATACTTTTAATTTCCTCTGTCATCCCTGTTTTTTCTAAATTCTTCTAAATCCTTAACTATTCATTCTGTGGCTAGAATTTTGAAAATGTGTAGTGCTTTCTGTTTACCAAATTAATGTGTGATTACTACAAACTATTCAAACACTTCAAAATGCATTGATGCGAGCTGAGTACCGTGGCATTGTCAATAGCCCCAGCTACTTAGGAGGTTAAGAAGGGAGTGATCACATCTCCCTGGAATTCAAGACCAGCCTATATAACACAGCAAGACCTCATCTCAATATATAACAGATGTATTATATACAGGAATATTTACCTGCATTTATATATACACATTTATATATAATATATATTCTAGAAAGTAAAACTCCATCATGATCTCAAATGATGGCTTTTGCTATCAGTATGTGCATTTTGTACACACATGTTATTTTTGAAAGCAGAAACATTGTTGACTCACAGAAACTACATTACCATAACTTTTTTACTTTAAAATGTTTGTCTAGATATCTATCTGCATTAGAGTTCTCCTGAGAAACAGAATTGACAAGATCTATGTGACAGTCTCTTCTGGAAACACACTCATCAACACTCCCAGAAAGCCTTACCAAATATCTGGGTATCTCTAAGCCCAATCAAGTCAATGTATAAAATTAGCCATCATACCATCTGTTTATTCTTAAACTACTACAGCTATTCTAAAAATATTTTATTTATTATTTTTATTTTATGTGTATGGTATATGTATATTGCCTGCATGTAGGTAAGTGTGCCCGTGTCATGCAATGCCCGACAGAAGAGGCTGTTGGATCCCCTGAAACTGGAGTTATGGACAGTTGTTAGCTG